AATAAAAGCCGTGGACGATCATTTTAAGTAATAATAAGTGTCTCATCGTTGTGCTGTTTAAGCACTGAGCCCCCCCCCCGTGTTAAGGCCTCAATGCACTCAATCATCACGCTACGGCTGCGTGGAACATGTGTCCACGTGTTTCGGGTCACGCAGATTTAGGGGACTGAAAACTATTGACCTATTAGACCTGGTGTCTCCGGGACGCTGCTGCATGCTGGAACCAGTCGCAGTCGAATCCCATCCAAATGTATTTATGCACATATATTCGGGTTCCTCCTCCTATTCCCACTCTGACCTGCGTGCTCTTTGAAGGGGGGCGCCTTTGAAGTGCGTCAGCATCTGTGAAGTGAACACCCACCCAATTAGCACCCGCGGCTAACGAGCTACGTAGGGCGTCCCGGCTTTGATGTGGCCCAGGTGACAAAAAGCACTTGCAGCCGGGGGGGGGGGGGGGGCGCAGGCGACCTCCTCTAAGAGCATCCGAAAGAACCGTCGGATTGACTCATCTTTCTCCAGTAACATTAGAAAATAACTTAAAGAGGAAATTGAATACAGAATTGAGCCGGCGGCTCACATGTTTTTCCCGCCCACATGGCAATGTAGCTAGTGGAACTACTGGAATAAAAGGCCTTTTGGTAGGTCTGATTATTGGGACATTTGACTGCTGTTCAGAACCTGTGGTCGTCCTCTGGTGACGTCACAGGCTGTGGGCGTGGCCGTAACAGCCGCAGGGTCAGCTGACTCCCGACACGCAAAGAGAAGTGTGAAGCTGACACACGTTGTCCTGCACTTTGTCACGTGACCCCGACTTGTCTCGTGTCTGAGACGCGCCGTCTGCTCAGGGAGGCTGCGGCGCGGCGCCGTCATTTTCCTTCACTTTCTTTCTTCATCTTCTTCTTCTTCATTTACCTCTCGGGAGGAAAAGGCTGCCGTGTCCCAGTCGTCGTGCCCCGCTTATCAACGAGCTGCAGACAGCCGCTGTTATCTAACGCGTGAGAGAGACACCCTGTGTGTGTGTGTGTGTCTCTCTCTCACACACACACACAAACTCTCTCACACTTGTGTTAAACATTTCTGATGTTGTTAAAAGGAGACACCGCTCTCGTTAGTTGTGATTTAAAGTCTGTCTCACCGTCTGTTCTCCAGCTCTGGAACGACGATCCAAATGGCCGAAAGGCACGATCGAATCTCCCTTTCACCAAACTTTATTGACACGAATCGCTCCTCGGCTGCCTGGCTGCTGATAAACAAACAACTGCTTCCCCACCAGGCGCCTGCTGCGTGTCGCCTGTTGTTGGCGAGAGTCGAAGGTGTGTGACCACTTTCCTTCATTACCGGTTATGCAGAGTGTCTTGTTTTTGACTCAGTTCATATTTTATTGTAGCAGTTTGCAGCAGTAACAATCGTTATCAACTTCCTGCTGAGGTTACCCACACGGACGGAAAAAACAAACAAAAGATTGATAAGTGCCATCCGGGAACAGATTGAAATCCGATGCCGTGTTGATTTTTAACCAACAGCTTCTTTTGTCTTGTCTCAACAAAACAGATGTGTTGTTTTCAGTTAAGCTACATGGTACATTTCACTCCGACCTTTCTACCGATGAGCCACCTTCAAACTGTTGTTTGACATCTTGGTGAACAAAATGAGTCCAGCTGTTGGATCCCAGTGTAATCGTTATGAGCTACTTTAGTGGAACGAGGCCTTCGGTGGACAGGCAGATCCAATCAATAAGTCCATCACTGAAAGCAACATCCTGTCCCTCCTGTAACTCCTCGTGGAACCAACTGTCTGCACCCTCACGTTCCTGATGTTCCTCGGAGGTCGGACACACCGCCGACATCTGGTGACCAGAGGTCAAATCAGGGCGGATTGTCTTCCAGCTGATCTGATTTTTATGATAATTTTATGATCTCTAAACACACTGAAGCTGAATAAGTTGCACGCATTGTGTCCGCGTGCTGTGATTTGCCGAGTCGGGATATTTCTTTATGTAAATAGCAGCAGTCGGGCACCGAGCGTTTTAAAGTACCTTTGTTTCCTCCACATGGCCCCCGGCCGTGAGGCTGCGGCTTCCTGGCATGTGGGCCAGGCCAGTTACGTACCATAACTTCCTGCCGTTTTCACAACGCGGGCACGCATCCGCCCCTCTCACCTCATGCAGAGTCTCAGCCTCAGTCGAGGGCCTCCTCTCAACGCCTCTTGTAATCCATTCAGCGTGGGGGGGGAAGTCTCATGCAGTCGGACAAAATACGCGTGTGACACTTTTCTGGCTTTTTATGAAGAGATAAGTGCCGGAGAGCAGAGCAGAGAAACACAAGCGGCCATTCATGTGGCCGGATGGGAGGAGGTGTATCTCACCGTCCAATCAGAGAGCAGCTGGGTGCGACGGGGGCGTGATGAGACGAGGAATGTGATGAAGGAAACATTTTGCTCTCTCCCTGGCTTTGGAGGACCTTCAGCTACGACTTCATAGAGGCGGGACACGCCAGAGCGTTTGAATGATGTAAATATATTAAAATGTTATCACTTAAAAACAAAGTAAGAACCAGTCCGTCATGAACAGGACAGAGACTCAAAGGAAGCGCCTGGTGTTCATTAGCAGCGGGTTATTTTCTGCACTCTCGGCTCGTTTTGAAAGTCGGACACACTTTGCTGACGGAGATCGGCTCAGCCTCCATCTTATTAACGCCTGTCAGAGACTCATGTTGACAACCGGACGACCTCTGACAGCATCGTGCACGTGGCGATGGTCACCGCGGCTCTTCGCAGCAGACCGCCAAAAAAAACTTGTCTTCAGATGGGAGGCGTTGGGAGGGACAAGCATCGATACGCTTTCTTCGGGGACAAATGGCGTTGTCTTCTACACTTCCATCCCACTGAAAGCAGAACAAGAGCCCGACTTATTCCGGAGCCACGTGACCACAGGGCTGCACGTGAAACCGCGCCGCACGGACAAGAGCGCACGCCTCTCCTCCACCCTCCTCCGCCCGCGCCCCCCTTGTGATCGTTGAAACGGAAAGCCACTTCAGTTTCATTGTGCACATGATCCCGCACCGAGCCGGGGTCAGACGGAACGAGCCTGCAGATCAGAAGCCCTCGATCCCAGCGTCATCGAGGCAGAAACTCCAGGCCGGAGGAGCGAGCAGCTGCCATGTTTTGTTGCATCTTGAACACGGGGGCTGTGACACATATGTGTGTGTGTGTGTGTGTGTGCGTGTGTGTTGGCAGAGCTCCCGGTCAGCTCGGCATCACACTGACAGGGTGGCAAGTAAGAAAGAAAGGAAATAGATAGAAAGGCCCAGCGTCCGCGGTGTGAAAACAGGAAGTGGGACTGACTGTCAGCAGGGGGTCCCCCGTGATGCAGATCCTGACTCATCGCTTCTCCTGACCAGCCCTCATGCAGGGAACCATTGCTACACCACAACACAACACCATGAATGTCATGTATGCCATCTGTGATCTGGAAATATTTGCAATGCACTGGGGAGGAGGTGGGGGTTCCTGGAAAAACGCATTACATGACAGGAATGCGTTTAAAGAGGGTGTGTACCTCCCCCTCTGTTTGAGACACATCTGGTGCACAGGCAACACAAACAAACAATACAGACACAACAATATGACACACAGAATCATAAGTTCTCTTTCTAGGTAATGAATTAACAGATATTCTCCTACGTTCCCTCCTTATCGTAAGTGAAATACCTAAAGTCTTCTCCACCACACTTCGCCTGTCGCCAAGGAAACCGCGACGCTAACGGCTCACCACCGCCCACCTGTGTGTGGACACGATGCCTCGGAAACTGTCTCCAGCCACAAACCGGAGGAGCTGGTAGGGCGACATCCATTGTGACAAAGTTCTAGAAGTTTAAAAATATATATATATATGCACAGCACCTTAAAAAGGGCCGCCCACCTCAAGTGGCCCCGGGCCGCCTTCACTTCCATCAGCGGAATAGCCAGACACGGGAGCTCAACTCACGCCGCTACATTCCCGGCTAGAACGTTAGCATGACGGCTAGCGCACAGCGGAGGGGACCCGGATGGGCCTTCAGAGGGGCAGAAGAGAGGGGAACCATTCTCACCTGATTCACGGTCAAGGGAGCGCCATCTTTGACTCTTATCGAAAGAAACACACACACAGCACCTGTTGGGTGTTTATAGCACAGGGAAGTGAGATGCTGAGTGTTGCCAACACAACATGAGGAAACCATCGAGCCGTCACTTCCTGTTGGCTCGCCATCCACCCTCCATCTGCTCACGTCCTTCGACCAACGGCGTGCTGTGAATAACAGGTCGGGGTTATGATGTGAATACTTTTGGACCACAGACAGGCTGTAAAGAAGAGTGTCTCTCTTGTGCAAAGATACCAGAGGTAGAAATCCAGCTGCATCAGCTCGTCTACTGAAGAGACGAGATATATATATAAATATAAATAATCGGATACCCAGAAAGAGAAGAAATCACTGTGTATTATCACATACCAGCAGACTGCTACCCACGCCTATAGAACTCAATGTTCTGTCTAACAGTTCTCTTAGATCAGTGGCGCAGGCCTGTGCATTACACATATTTATACACACACAAATGTATATATGTACAATAATATATGAATAATCTCAGAGGTCTGTATATTAAAAACGATTGTTTTGGGCAAAAACCTCCTGATAATAATCGATTTTCACAGGAAGAGAGCATCAAATACACACACACACACACCTCAGTTCACTGCAGATCATCACATTCACAACAAGCTTCAACACCTCTCAGCACCCACGGCTTTATCGGGATTAAGACACACACCCACACACACACACACACCCACACCCACACACACACGTGTCAGCAGCACCTTCGCCTTCAGCAGATGATGAAGATTGCAGTTGGAGAGCACTCGAAGCATAAGTAAACAAGACTTCCCAGAAGTCCTCTTCTAGGATTCCAGATCTCCGTGATAACTTGCAAATAGATGCATGCTATTTTATCTTATCTTTTACATCCCGCTATAATCTGGATTTTTGTTATATCCGGACGTTATTGAGTCTGTGCGTGGTTTTATTTCCGCCTGCTTTGTGTTTTCCTCCCGCTCGTTGTTTTCCTGATGAATTTGTTGTTATCTCTTCTCATTGCAGAACGGAGGATGCGTGAGACCATCGAGCAGCCGCGCCCTCACCCCATCTGGGATCACACAGCCGCAGCACATGCCTTCTGATTGATTTATTCAAGATTAATTGTTGCTTTGTCGGCTCATTGCTTCCAACCGGTTCGCGTCAGATGTCTGTGCTTTGCACTACATTTGAACGCGGTGCAAACAAAGGGTCCTCCGCTCGTCTCGTCGCCACGATGCAGCTACAGGTCGGCGCCATGAATTAGGCCACCAATAAAGACAGACGAGTCTGGCCTCCAAGGCGATTACAGATCCAAAATGAATCTTTAAGCTTCAGCTATTTATGACTCTTGTTTCTTGAAAATGATACAAGCTCTCGCTAATTGGATTTGATGGAGTCACAGAAGGGGACACGACTCCTTAATTCAGTTCATCTTCTGAAGGGTTCGGGGGAATGTTGCAGTTGAACGTCTGTCCTGCTGCTCAAACTGTCTCTCTCGCACACACACACACACGTTCCCACCCACTGAACACCTGCCAACTACACACACACACACACACACAGCTGATCGGTAAGTTAATCACAATCATCAAACCGAGAGAAAATCCTCCACCAAGTGGGTTTGAGGTCAGTTTAATGCGCTGCGAGGGTTCGTTTCACTCGCAGCAACTGGAAGCATCAGTGCTGTTGCTATGGTTACCCGCCTTTGAACATGCGAGGCGGCGTGAAAGGAAGACAAAATTGCAGGATACGGTATTATAGGTGAACATTTTGTGATACTTATATCAAGAGGTAGTCTTTAAAAGTAATAGTTGCATTTCAGGAAAAGGACCTGAATTGAAATTGCAGCGTAGGCAGGAAACTGTGTCCAAACTGCAGCTAAATATGCTGAGAGCGCTTCGTAAAAATGTCAGTTAAACTTCTACACCTGGCAGCCAATCAGAGACAAGTATTTTCAACGGCCATGATTCACTGGAAAGTCTCAAATAAAAGCTGGTATTCAACCAGTGGAACAAGTCTTAAATAACATGTAATTGGTGCCTACATTGGCCAGGGCGCCCGTGGAAAATTAACCAATTCATATTAGCATTTAACAAAAGTCATGAGTCAGCAGGTCTCTGATGGCCTGGGGTCAACCCTCTCCTGTGGTTAGGAAATGATGATAAGAGCTCTCTCATAACCGTTAACACCGAGGCGGTGGGCCGAGAGCTGAGCCGAGAACAGAAAGTGTCTCCTTTCAACTTCCAAAGGATTCCGCCTAAATGAAATATATTGTCTCGGCAGGACGAAGATTACTCTGATTAAATGCTACATTCAAACCTAAAAGAATCAACGCAAAAAACATACATTTGTAATATAAAAGATAGATTTTCGATATGGAAAGCAAAGCCCCCATGTGGTAGAGCCTCCATTTGGGGTCTGAGGGTCTGAATCACAGAGATCACACCAACGCTGGTGCCTCGTTCTCAGACTAGCAGGTCGGTCTGAGGTGTGAACACAAACCCACTTCCACTGACAACCACACGTGTAGAAAGGAAGCCGTGTGAATGCCTGGTTTACATCTGGATGTGCATCTGGATTTATGTCGTCCCGTTTAGAATCAAAGAGCGGCAAGGAGCTCCTGACACGAACAGAGCGGTGTTCAGGTGCGCCCGGCTGCTCGCCCTCACGTTCACCAAAGCTGCATTCTGCTCAGGCGTTGTTTATCGGGGGCAGTTCTGGCAGCGAGTGATGAAACATCGGATCCACCCGTCTGTGATAAATACCTATCCATCATCCCGTCAAGCGTGTCACGGTGCATCAAACAGGGCGTCGGGCTATATAAAAGCTCATATCTGTGCTGTAAATTCTGGTATTAAAATTTCAAATAATGGCAGCTTTCGATAACAAAACAAATAAGGACCTGGTGTCTGATAGAGGTGAATTAAAAAAACTCAATGCAAGTTCTTCACATTAAAAGCCAACCAGGCTGCAACTGGAAAGTGAAGCCAAAGCGGAGTTTTTTTGAACTTGCATTAATTCTTAATGCCAGCAGGGGGCGACTCCTCTGGTCCCATAGAAGTCTATGAGAAAATGACTCTTCTCTTGATTTGTTCTCTCAGCAAACATTGTAAACATGGGTTTATGGTCTCAATCCCCTGTTCCAAGTCTTCTTCAATGCAGCATGATGTTTATTTAGTGAAATATGGTTCAATTAGAGTCACATGGACCATAAAGCAGGGTATAATTTAGTGCGGGGTTACCAGAGCTGTGCACACTCCTCCACAGTCCAAGTATGGCTACTTCCTGTTTCCAGCTTGGAAATTAAAAAAACGGCATGGAAACTGCTAAAATCCAGAAGTGAGCTGACCAAGGGTGACATCACAATAACCACGCCCACTTCTTATTTGCGTGTAACAGTGGAAACCGCACCCACCCGGCACGGTGGTCAAGAGGGCGCAGAAGTCATCAGGAAACATACCTCAACATCCATAAAGCTTATGTGAAAGAATTAAAATTAAGAAAGAAAGACGAGCCACAAAATTAACGAATTTAAGGAAGAATTTAATTTCCAGCATTCTGCCAGTAGATCATTGGTGGCAGATCTGTGGTGAACTGTATCGAGACCAAAATGGAGAGAAGTTCCCTTCACATCACATCAAACGATAAGCCTTCAGTTAACCTGGTCAGTAAGTGTCCTTCACAGTTTAACCAGCACTAGAAGGTCTAACCAAAAGCTCAAAACCAAAGAACGTGCCCACTTGTCTTGGCACATGACAGCGTTAACCTTCAGGGAGAAGTAGCCAAACGGCCATTTCTCACAGAAAATACTCCCCGATGTATCGTAGCTATTGTTATGGTCGTCTTTTATTAACCAATTGACATCACGAGACAAGAGGCTTTCAAATGACTATTAACACGCTTCGGTAGCTCATCACTGACCTGCACTCACACAAGTGGAAAAACATGCACATTTTATTAAAACACAAGCCACTTTTCTATTGGATTCCAGTTAACAACAGAGTCACAACAGGTTTTCTTTGCAAAGGGCTCTTCGTTTCTGCAGAAATACCAGCAGAGGAGCAAATGCCCTCGTTTGGAGGTCACAAGCTGAGAAGGAGTCACCATGATGCCAAGAAGCGGGATCCCCCCCCCTCCTTCCTAACGCAATAAGGCAGGACACACCCAGGCAGAGGGGGGGGGTGGAGGAGGAGGTGGATGAAACGGGAGGAGGAGATGGAGCAGAGCTGCTATCCGCCCATCTCTGCGGGTGACGTCAGAACAGCACGGGAGCAGGACGCCCGTTGAAATTGAAATGAGCTCGCAAACGATTATTTTCCCTCCTCCACCCTCCTCCACCCTCCTCCTCCACAGCCGCCGGTCGTTGCGACAGCACGAGGAGTCCCACTGTTTACAGTGTGTCCGCAAAGTGTGGACAAACCGCCCCGACGAGCCCTGCTGGAGCAGCCGCATTCGTGACGACGGTCGCGCGCGCGCGCACACATTCGTGTCAAAAACAGCAGCAACTACCGCAGCAACCAGTGTTCGCCAACACAACAAGGGAAAAGAGTGGCTTTATAACGAAGTTACTGCGCCGGGAAGGGGGGGTGATGATACAAGCCGGGTTCCGTAGGGGCGGATATCACAATAAACGATAGAGCTCGCACGCGGGGGACTTTGGGAGAATGTCTCCGGGCCGTCGGCGGTTCGATCGCGGTCGCGCGAGCCGCTCCGTCGCGCCGGGCCCGACAGCGCCATTCAGAATCCCCCCGTTCAAAGAGAACCCCCCGTTTAAGCGGCGGAGGCGAACATTTCACTCAGGGAAAAGCCACCCCCGTCAACCGGGGGGGAAGTGGTGGTCGATTCGGCGTGACTCCGGTTCGCGTTCAAACCGGGGTTTTGGCGAAATTAGAAGTTAACTGGTTGTAAAAAAATAAATAAAGCGTCTCCCCGGCGCGGCGCTGCTTAAACATGGCGAAAAGTTTATGTATCAGCAAAATAAAGAGCCACGCGATGTACTGCAGATGTGTTCGTTTCCAACCGACCCCCCCCCCCAAATACCCCCCCGGGTGTCGAACAGGTGTTTGTGGACGGAGACTTGACACCGTCGCCTGTTGAAGGGAGGCTCGTACCGGCTGCCCGCCCGCCGGAGCACCGGGTAGAAGGACTACAGGAGGTCGTGAGCCCCCCACCTTCCCCGAGCGAGACAGCCGTGCGTTCACACCTGGGGACCCCCCCCCCCGTCCCCCCTCCCACACACACACACACACACACACACACACACACACACACGCACGCACACGCGCGCGCACGAGTATGTCCCCTGGTTGCCAGAGAAACCGTTAACTTACCCGGATGCTGAGCGGTGAAAAACTAAATCACTTCAAGGGGGGAAAGCGGCCGTTGGTCGCTCAGCCCGCGAACGGAACGCAGAGGAATCGAACATGCGTCCGGATAAAGTTAGAGAGAGACGGGGGGAACAAACCCAAACACACGTTACCTCCGCTCGGGTGGTGGTGGGGGCGACCTCGGCCGTGTCCTGTCCTGCGGGCGGTGTCGGGAGGCGGAGGGTTTCTTTAGAGGGGTTCGTCCATTGCCCAGCAGAGCTCCAACTTGACACCGCAGCGGTGGAAAAATGAATGACAAAGGAGGAAGGGGGGGGGAGAGGGAGACCAGCAAACGTCCCCCTTTTCTGTTTTGTTCCGACGTCTTAAACCGGTTCGTCGGACTCGGCTCTGGTCCCGCAGCGGCAAACCCCGCTTCCCCGAAGAGGAAGGAAACGATCCAGATTCAGTCCGCAATCAATCCGGTTCAAGGAAGAAGAAATAAGAACTCCCCTTTCTCTCTCTCGCTCGCGCTCTCTCTCAGAAGGGGGGAGGGCGCGCGGGGGGGGGGGGGGGGGCTTTGGTAACAAAAAGGCCGGCCCGGGAACGGGGGTCCGGACAGGGCCCGGAAAAGGACCCGAAGTCCTGGGTCGGTGTCTTTCCCTGGCTCGCAGAGGTGGAGCAGCAGGGTTGGAGGTGGAGGGAGGAGGGAGGAGGGAGGAGGGGGGGGGGACTGTCCGCTACAGATGGGAGGGACCAGCTCGGGATTGCCTGTTTCTTTTTAAGGTGGCTCTGTGAATTAATTAGGTGATCGGTTAGAAGCGGAGCCAGGAGAACATCCGCCTCGGGGCGAGGAGTCGAGAAGCCGAGGAGACTTGAGAGGAAGGTTGCAACAGGGAGGACATGTTCCTACTGGAAGGAAAGGATCCGAGTAGAAGGAAAGAAACCTTATTAGAAAGAAAGGATCCTGCTGAAAAGAAAGGTTTCTACTAGAAGGAAAGGATTCTAATAGAAGGAAAGGTTCCTACTGGAAGGAAAGGATCCGAGTAGAAGGAAAGGTTCCTACTGGAAGGAAAGGATCCGAATAGAAGAAAAGGTTCCTATTAGAAGGAAAGAAACCTTATTAGAAAGAAAGGATCCTGCTGAAAAGAAAGGTCCTATTGGAAGGAAAGGATTCTAATAGAAGGAAAGTTTCCTACTGGAAGGAAATGATCCTAATAGAAGGAAAGGTTCCTACTAGAAGGAAAGAAACCTTATTAGAAAGAAAGGATCCTGCTGAAAAGAAAGGTCCCATACTGGAAGGAAAGGATCCGAATAGAAGGAAAGGTTCCTACTGGAAGGAAAGGTCCCAACTAGAAGGAAAGGAACCTTATTAGAAAGAAAGGATCCTGCTGAAAAGAAAGGTCCCTACCACAAAGGATCCAAATAGAAGGAAAGGATCCTACCAGAAGGAAATATGGAAGCAAAGGAGAAACGCACATCTGGACTGATGAGGCTCATTGGGTGCCATCTCATTTATTATTACATAATAGTTTAGGGGTTTTGTTTTGTTTCTAGGCAACAAAACTTTTGAAAATAAAGTTTGCGCATGTTGTGGGAAAACGATCATAATGCTTCAAGATTTAAAATACTAATATTTCAAGATTAAAATATAATACTTTAAGAATCAAATCATCCTATTTCCCCAGTTAACACATTTTTCCTCATTAAGTTCCATAGTAAAAGAAAGTTTTTACATTTTTATGTTTTACTTTTTTTTTAATTATTAAATTAATTAAAAAGCAATAAGATTTATTTTGAGATTAGTGTAAGGTCATTACAATTGCGCAGTAACGTATTATTTAGAGGTACACGTTGTAGACAGTACAGTTCAATATAATGTGTAATAACAAATATCAAACGTGATCTCAGTGTGAATCATGGTGCGTATCACATGATGAAGGCCTTTAATATGTGGTGATTAAAAGCAAAGTTCACATTTAACATCAGAAAGAGAAGATTAAAGCCCCCACAGCCGTTTGTGCTCACGTCTGCTGAGAAAAGCAGAACACGAACAAAGAATGTGACAAGAAATTTTCTCCCCCGGCTGCCAACCGGCCACTCAATCAGCTCGGCCTCCCACGCTATGCTAATGACGGCGAGGCAGCGAGCCGGTTGCAGCCGCCATTTAGCGGCTCCGCTTCGCCCTCAACGCCAACCGGCCTGCAGGTGGAGGAGCGCGGTGTTCCTCACGACGAGTCCTTGATCTCTCATTTTAAAGGGATTTTATTCTCTTCATTCAGTCTATTCCATATTGATGCACATTTTAATTGTTTAAAAAGTGAAATGCATGACAACTGGTTACGGTTTGCACAATAATAGTATTCGACCAGAAAAACAAATGGATTTCCTGTAATATCAATGCAATGAGACGTGATAATTAAACAGCAATAAACGCTTGGGGGGCTTTGAGGTGGCAGAAACCAGATTGGTGATCACTAATAATAAATATTGCTATCAATTAAATGAACTTTCAGCGACCATGAGGTCAGCTGTATTGATTTGTGTCTCAGGTCGCTCAAATGCTCAATGCAATTATATTAAAATACTTTTTAAAACGAAAAAAAAAAGAAAATGGATTATTTTTGTCACAAAAAACAGGATAATGTTCAAATGAGTTGATTGACAGGAATTATTGAGTGTGGCCCGCGAAGCTGAGCCGACTGCTTGTTGAATAAATTGCTGGTTCTTCTGCATTCTTCCTAGTCTACTGACTTTCACTCAAGTGTTCTTTCCCTTGCAGGTATGTTTACAGTGTCTTTGACCTCAGCGAAGGATCTGTTTATTCAGTTAATGTCACATTTCGCCCCCCTGGACGCACTGTTGTCACAACACACCTGTGTATCTTTTGTCAATACGTCCCACCCAGTCTCACGTCCAACAAACGCCACCTAAAGCTTCGGAGACAAACCGTCCGGAGGACACTCGTGACATCAGACGTATTCATCGACTTCCGTGTGTGTGTGAGGGGGAGAAAGGGGGAACCCAAGGACAGTTGGTTGGAGGTGCTTGTCAGACTCATGTGAGGACTCTTTGTAACTCCGAACGAACCACAATCATGAAACTAAGAGGCTGAAAAAACACCGACCTGGAACCGCTAAGAGTTTCTCCGGAGTTCTGAAGCTACCTTCAGCCAGAGGACGGGCTGTGACCGGCCTCCTGATCAATAACCTCAACTGTCCAAAGCATTTCTGCAGGTTCTGGAGGTGTTCCAGGTCCTGCAGGGAGAATGTCCTGAGAGGCTGAGTTCAGGGCAAAAACGTCCCGTCTCCATCTGTTTGTGGGTTCAGAGGCAGCAGGAGCTTGCATGCACACACACACACACACACACACAGGCACGCGCACACACACTTTCCACAGCATTAGAAAACTCACAGGGAACGTCCTTCATTCAACATCATATTAGATGGTATTAGCATAAAATGAATGTTCTAGAAGTGTTCATTCTCCAGAACGGGCCGTTTCCGAGTCATATTTATGTCCATCCCTTTGAGGCTGCACTTGGAGAAGGTGTGGATTATTTAAACTGCTTTATATGCTGCTGGGTAGCTCAGCCTTTAATAAAATGTGAGATGGGATATTATGTTTTGCCTTACGGCGAAGGGCGAAGTATCCAAAACCTTGTGACGTTCCAGCACTGATGATGACCAGTCCCACCATCTTTCACGGCTTTTCGGATCAGTTCCTCTCTCTCCTCCTCTCAGTGGAAATGAAACTCGTGGCTCCCTCCCCTCCAACAGAACAATAACCAGAACGTCATGCGATCCGAATGAAACCGCTCCATTAATGAGGTGGAAGTCCTTCTGTCTGCAGCGTAATGGCGTCATACATCACGGTGCGATGTGTTATTGGAGCTTCTCGCCCTGCAGCTCGCGGGCACCGAGCGGCTGTGGGTGGATTTCACCACTTTAACCTTCCTGTTTTATGTCAGAAGGTCAGTGAGGTCTCTTCGGTGTCCTCGGAGGACGAATTAGAGACTCACATTTAGCTGTAAATAAGCAATGTGCATATGCTAGTAGGGATATTAATAATAAACAGAAAGGGGTCTGAACATGTGCCTCATATGAGTAATGAAGCGTGCAGTTATATATTTACATGGATGGTTTTGTTTCAAGTGGGTTTTTCCATCGACTGCTGGCAAAGGAACCCTTAGATCTCGGCCTCCACCAGAAAAGCTCATTAAATATGTAAAAAATAGTGCAGAAGTTAAAATGTAAGAATAAAATCTCACATACATTAAACATACATTTACAAACAAACATGTAGAAAACATTGGTGTTTAATGAAAAGTAATACATGTACTGTGTATTTACATAAACATAAACAGGAATATATAAGGAAGTAAAACAGAAAGTGTTATGGGATAAAGTAGTATTTTACAGCTCAAAGGTTAAATTAACTCAGCTTGGAAATTTAGTTTTAATTGAACCTCAACACTACATTCTGTTACTCCAAATGTTTCCTGGGTTCACTGTCACTTTTATGTGAGTTGAGATGAAACGCCCTCAGAGGTTCGGGACCACTGTTCCCCCCCCGAGCGGCGAGTGCTCCGTGTGAGGGGAACATGAGCGGAAAGGTCATCCGTGACGAAGGAGGTCGTAAAAGGCAGAACCGTCCTGGATCGCTCCGAGGCGATGCGTCCGCGCCGCAAAACAACGCGGCGACAGGCAAAATTCAGTGATGAAATCGCCACCTGATCGCTGGTCGACGGTCCTGCCGGTCGTTTTCGAGAGAAACCTTTCAGCATCAGCGTTAATTATGAAAACGGAGGCTGTGATTGAAATCCATCGCGCTTATGTAACGCTGTGACTTCCTGAGGTCAGGATCCACCTACACTGCAGCAATCTGACAACACACAGCATTTAGACAACTACTGGCGGTGGAAACACATAAATCTCTCCATATATGCACTGACAAGCGGGACTGGATGTTGTATCCATGGCTACCTTCTCACGTAATCTGTATTATTTTTATCACAAAGGCCTTTTCTGGGGTTTTTTCTTCTCCCGAGCCTCCTGCTAACATGATGTACACAGACTCAGATTCTATATGTGAAGGAAGCCAAAAGCAGGCTGGATGGCACGGAGAGGGAGTCCGTTTTTGTTTGTTATCAACGGTCCACAACACTTCACTGAGGTGGTCTTTGTTGGTTTGGTTTCCAAATATTTCCTTTTCGGCTGCAGACGTGAACAGAAGCTGCAGGTTCTTTGAGAGGTCGGCCGCAGGTCGGTCGCCATTACGGCGCCGCTGCCTCTCCGCGGTGCAACCATCCATCAAACTGCAGCAGAGGAGCGCCGCTGCTGCACACAGCGTTCCGCCAACCGAGGGACGGCGTCACCATGACTACGTCCACGTCTCACACGCAGTCTGGGGTTATAGTCTAACAAGTGACTCGTGTCGTGGGCTGTTCTGTGCAGCTTACAGAGCTGAATGCTGTTAAAACGTGACATTGAAGCATCGACTGTTACTGTTGTTGAGTCGTCGAGCGACATTGAATGAAGCCGTGCTGATGGTCCTTTCCCGGATCACTTCACGCCTGCGTGAAT